ACTGAAACTTGCTCTCCAGTGTAGAGATGCTAAAGCAAATGGAAGAAATGAGGAGGTCCAAGAGCTGAACAGAAAATTTCAAAGATCAGCTCGAGAAGGTAAAGCCAAATATTACTACAAAATGTGCAAAGATCTGGAATCAGAAAACCAAAAAGGAAGAACACACTCAGCATTTCTCAAGCTGGGGGATCTGAAGAAAAAAAAAACCAAGTCTCGGCTTTCGTTATTGAAAGATTCACTGGGCAAGTTATTGAATGATGCAGAAAACATCAATAGAAGATGGAAGGAATACACAGAGTCACTGTCCCAAAAGAAATGGTTAATGTTCAACTGTTTCAAGAGGTAGCACATGATCAACAGCCAATGATACTGAAGGAGGAAGTCCAAGGTGCATTGAAGGAATTGGCAAAGAACAAAGCACCAGGAATTGATGGAATAAAAATTGAAATTTTTCAAGAAAGTGAGGTGGCACAGGAGGCACTCACTCCTCTCTGCCAAGAAATTTGGAAGACAACTATCTGGCCAACTGATCAGAAGAGATCCATATTTGTGCCCATTCCAAAGAGAGGTGGCCCAATGGAATGTGGAAATCATTGGACAATCTCTTTGATATCCCATGTGAGTAAAGTTTTGTTAAAGGTAATACAGAAACGGCTACAATCATACATTGACAGAGGACTTCCAGAGGTTCAAGATGGATTCAGACGAGGCCATGGAATGAAGGATATCATTGTTGATGTCCGACGGATCTTGGCTGAATATCAGAAAGATGTTTACCTGTGCTTTATTGACTACGCAAAGGCTTTCGATTGTGTGAATCATGGCAGGCTATGGACAACACTGCGACGTATGACTATTCCAGAACACTTAACTGTACTTAGGAGGAATCTGTACCTGGACCAAGAAGCAGTTGTTCGAACAGAACATGGGAACAGTAAATGGTTTAAAATTAAGAAAGGTGTGCGACAGGGTTATATTCTTTCACCATACTTATTCAACCTGTATGCTGAGCATATAATCCGAGAAGCTGAGTCTTATGAAGAAAAACATGGCATCAGGATTGGAGGTAGACTCATTAACAACCTGCGATATGCAAATGATACAATCTTGCTTGCTGAAATTGAAGAGGACTTAAAACATTTACTGATGAAGATCAAAGAACACAGCCTTCGGTATGGATTACATCTCAATGTCAAGAAAACAAAAAATCCTCACCACTGGACCAATAAGCAACGTTCTTATCAACAGAGAAAAGATTGAAGTTGTAAAGGACTTCATTCTTCTTGGATCAACTATCAACACTCATGGAAGCAGCAGTCAAGAAATCAAACAACATATTGTATTAGGCAAATCTGCTGCACAAGACCTTTTTAAAGTTTTGAAGAGTAAAGATGTCAGCTTGAGGACTATGGTGCGCCTGATCCAAGCCATGATGTTTTCAATAACCTCAGATGCATGTGAAAGCTGGACAGTGAATAAGAAAGTCTGTATTAGAATGGATGCTTTTGAGTCATGGTGTTGGAGGAGAATATTGAAAGTACCATGGGCTGCCAAAAGAACCAACAGATCTGTGTTGGAAAAAGTGCAGCCAGAGTGCTCCTTAGAGGCCAGGATGGCCAAACTTCGTCTCTCATGCTTCAGACATATTGTCAGGAGGGACCAGTTGCTGGAGAAGGATATCATGTTTGGTAAGGTGGTGCATCAGAGAAAAAGAGGAAGACCCCCAGCGAGATGGATTGGCCAAGTGGCAGCATCAACGGACTCAAGCGTGGCAACAGTAGTGAGGTTGACCCAGGATTAGGCAGTGTTTCGTTCTGCTGTGCATAAGGTCATTATGGGTCAGTACCGACTTGATGGCCCCTAACAGCAACAACAATAAGTAACCTCAAGGTCAGCAGTTCAAACCCACCAGCCACTCCTTGGAAATCCTATACAGGATTGCTATGACTCGACGGCACTTCACTACAACAGTCCTACACAGGGTTGGTTTGGTAAAGCCTAGTTCAGACTCCTTGCAAATTGAATTATATAATCACTGAGCGAAACTGGGTGAAGGGCATGCAGGCCCTCTCTATACTAGCTGTGCAATTTACTGTGAATTTATAATTATTTCACAATTAAAAAAATAAAACATCAGAAGACTTTCAGCAAGATGGCGGACAAACCAGACACACTACATGGACCCTCTTAAACAAAGATATGAGAGGCCAAATAAAACAGACAAAAGAAAATTCTAGCACCCTGAACTTCAGAAGAAAGGTGGATGGAGTGTTTGCTGGGAGGAAAGGCTGAGCAGGGATGACGAGAGAGGGATACTGACAGGTGAATGGCTGGCCAGACAAGGCTCAACCACCTTGTGAGCAGCTTTGGCAGTGAAGGGCGCCTGGTGGAAAAGGTGTGATGTCTTTGTTTTCCCCTACGCTCTCCTGGTGACCTGAAGTGATCACTCCCTCCTCTCTGGGAGCTCAGAGCGCATGGTTGGGAGCCACACCGGTGTCATTTGGGGGGTCAGCTATAACTCTTTGATGTGCCACTATGGTGCCTGGATTCAGAGCAGCTTGGCACCAGCCCTACAAAAGCTGCAGAGCCACCAGAGCAGCATTTAGCCAGTTACCTGGCACCCAGCTTCCCTGTGG